CGAGCAGGAGACGCAGGAGCTGGCGTCCAAGCGGCTGGACATCCAGAACAAGCGCTTCTACCTGGACGTGAAGCAGAACGCCAAGGGCCGCTTCCTCAAGATCGCTGAGGTGGGCGCGGGCGGCTCCAAGAGCCGCCTCACGCTCTCCATGGCCGTGGCCGCCGAGTTCCGCGACTACCTGGGCGACTTCATCGAGCACTACGCGCAGCTGGGCCCGTCGAGCCCCGAGCAGCTGGCCCAGGCCGCCGGGCCGCCGGGCGAGGACGGCGCCGGCCCCCGCCGCGCCCTCAAGAGCGAGTTCCTGGTGCGGGAGAACCGCAAGTACTACCTGGACCTGAAGGAGAACCAGCGCGGGCGCTTCCTGCGCGTCCGCCAGACCGTGAACCGCGGCCCGGGGCTGGGCTCCACGCAGGGCCAGACCATCGCGCTGCCCGCACAGGGCCTCATCGAGTTCCGCGACGCCCTGGCCAAGCTCATCGACGACTACGGGGGCGAGGAGGACGAGCTGGGCGGCCCCGGCGGCGGCGGCCCGGGAGGCGGGGGGCTCTACGGGGAGCTGCCCGAGGGCACGTCCATCACCGTGGACTCCAAGCGCTTCTTCTTCGACGTGGGCTGCAACAAATACGGGGTGTTTCTGCGGGTCAGCGAGGTGAAGCCGTCCTACCGCAACGCCATCACCGTCCCCTACAAGGCCTGGGCCAAGTTCGGCGGCGCCTTCTGCCGCTACGCCGAGGAGATGCGCGACATCCAGGAGCGCCAGCGGGACAAGCTCTACGACCGGCGCGCCGGCCCGCCGGGGCCCGGCAGCGGCAGCGGCGCCGGTGACGACTCCGACGGCGACGACGTGGACGACGACTGAGCCGATCCCCCCAGCCCTCGACCCCGACGCCGGCCCCCCACCACCCCCCTCGAGCCCTGGGGCAAAGGGGTCCCCGATCCCCCCTCCCAGTGACGGGGCAAAGGGGTCCCCGAACCCCCCTCAACAGCGATGGGGCAAAGGGATCCCTGAGCCCCCCCACCCTCTTCCTAGCGACGGGGTGAAGGGGTCTCCAAATCCCCCACGATCCCRCTCCCAGCAATGGGACAAAGGGGTCCCCGAGCCCCCCCCTCCCCCAGCAGCGGTGAGGCACGGGGGTCCCCGAGCCCCCCGAGCCCCCCCTCCTGCCGCCACCGGAGAGAGAGAAACCGGCCCGACCGTGCCGCCGCCCGCGGCCCCCCTGCCCCCTCCTCTGCTCCCACCATGGGACCCCCCGGCCCCCAGGACTCGCTGCTTTGGGGGGGGACAGGGAGTCACCCGCAGCCCCCTCCCCTCCCGGTGCTTCCCCATCAAAACCAGCACCCGAGTGCCCCGGAGCCGAGGGGCAGCGGCAGCGCCCGGCGGGGGCAGCGGAGGCACCTTGGACCAACGGCCGTTCCCTCGGCTTGTGATTTTTCCTTCATTTTCCTTTTTTTTTTTTTTCCCCTCTTTCCACATTGGTTTGGTTTTTTTGTTTTTTTTTTTGGTTGTTGATTTTTTGGGATGCAAACTCCGGGCACCCGAACTGGAACCTGCCCTGAGCTGGCAGCTCCCTGACAATTAGGGAAGATTTCCWCTGTTCTGCCGATTTCTGACCGTTTTTCCCCCCTCCCCCTGTTTCCCGCCGGGAAGGGGGAGGCGCCGGCACAAAGCACAAGGAAAAACTCGACGGGGTGAAACATCTTCCCCTTCTCTCCAAATAAGGCGCCTCCGGCCCCGTTTCACCAGGACCCGCCGGAATCCGCCCCTTGGCTTCACCCAAATTGGATTTTCCGGCCCCAAATCCATAGCCACGCCTGGCCCCGGCACCTTGGGGGTGGATTTTGGAGGATTATTGTTATTTTTTGCCTCCTTTTGTCTTTTTTTGCCCCCCTGGGCCCGGCCCTGGCGCCGCCTGGCCCCTCCAGCCACCTCCTATTAAACACATTTTTCCACTCTGAAATAGTCTTTTTTTAAAATTCTTTTTCACTTCCTCTGCTCARTCCTGCCCTGTCCAGAATTCCGGTTTTTCACCCCGTTTTCCCAGAACTCTGAACTCCGTCGCTCTCATTCCAAAGTTTTGCCTCTTCTCCAACGGTTTCACCACTTTTAGGACTTTTCTTTTTTTTCTTTTAATCCATTTTTGGGCGCCCAATCAGCWGCCTCTTTAATTTATTACCACGGATCTGGCGTCTCCTTCTCTCCATATTTATTGGGAAGTGAGGAACAGCCGCAGACCCCTGGGGGACCCCCTGCACCACAGGGACGCCGTTGTCCATCCGTCCGTCTGGCCTCTGGCCCCATCCCGCTGCTCCCGCTGCCGTCGCTCTTTTTAAAGGGATTTTTAAAAGCAAATTTCTTCCGTTTATCCCATTTTTAAAGCCTTCTCCGTTGCAAAGGACCCGGATCCCTCACTCACTCACACGGGAGCAATAGTCCTTCCTCGATGGCCGATGTGTCCGTACTGTATTTTGTAGCCTCAGGCAGCTCTTTCTGGTGAATTCCTGCTGTATCCACCCATCCTCCTGGTCCTGTGTTCTTTGCCACGGAGAAAAACCATAAACCACGACGGCGACGACGGATTTGGGGGGAAAAAAATGCTCCCAGCTCCGCGGGACTCACCGGCGTCCTGCCGCGGGACCTCTCCTTTTATTTTTGAAGAGGATGAGATATATATATATATATATATATATATATAAAAATATATATATATTCCTTTGGTTTTCTTTCTTTTGGCTGAATTGCGGTGATTTAGCCTTCTTTCTACTCTGGGAGAGCGGCGGAATTGCTGCCAGCCCGGCCCAGCTCCGGGGAGCTGGCTAGAAATACCTGGAAGAGGAAAAAAAAAAAAAGGCAAAACCACCAAAATCCAGTAATAAACCCAAAAAARCAGCTCCCGGCGTCGGCTCAGGGAGCCTTTCCTGGCCGGAGAAGCGCTGGATGCATGGACACAACCTCCCACAGCTCCATTTGGGTGGGAAGAGCAGAGCACGTCGGGGGAAGACAGCGGAAAAAACAGCCAAAATGAGATAAAATGGGGAAGAAAGGGGATTTGAGGTGCCCGCTGGAGTGAGGGGAGTGGCTGTGGGGGCTGCCTTGGGGGAGGGGAGCTTGGGGGGCAGTTTTGGGKTTTTTTTTCTCTTGGAGTCCCCCAGGAGCTGGTGGGTATTTCCCAGGAAAGTGGGACAACGCYGGCATCTCCCCCAAACCCCCTTCCCATCTCTCTGTGTATAGACATGGCTGTGTGTACATAAGTCAGATTCGGTTGGGTTTTGGGTTGAATTCTGTAGAAAATGGGCAAATTGCTTTTTTTTTTTTTACGTTTTAAACCACAAATAGGGGGAAAAATAATCCGAATTCCTGGTACTTCCAGCTTTGATGCCCCATAGGGGCCAATGGAAAACACAATGATGGCTGTACAGACAGAAAGTTGGAAGTCTTGTACAGCACCCCAAAATTCGCTGGAAATACCCCAAGTGGCTGGGTCCAGAGCCTGTGGTGCCTCCAGGGCAAGTTCAATCAGCTTCAATTCTTTTTGCCCTAAAAAATATGGAAGAAAATTTGGATTCTCTGCCGTGTTTCCAGGCGATTTGAGGGCGGTGGGGGATGTTTCAGGCGAGCCATGCCAGCAGCTCCTCATGTTGGTGACAAAACCAACCCAACCCCTCATGGGCCTCTGCTAAAAAAAAGTGGGGRAAAAAAATCACAAAAAACTGGAAAAGATTTTTTAAAAAGCAGCTGAGGGAGCACTAGGGGTGTGCGGGGCAATGCACCAGGGAGCTCGGCAGGTATTACCAGTGGGAAATTCCAGCCAGCTCCATGGATGCTCCCAGATGTTCCTGCAGGGCGAGGCCCGGCCACGGGTGCCATCGCCCCTCCTCAGCCTCCTCATCCTCGCGGAGCCGGTCGAGCCAGCAGCACCAGAACCAAGCCAAGCGGAGTGGTGGAGTCRGGGCTGGGTGTTGGCAGGAGAGCCCAGATGTGGGCGGGACAGCTGGGGAGGAGCACGGCGTGGCCTGGAGCTGCCTCAGARCAGCGGCCCCAGGGGGTTCTGAGCATGGGTCTGGCACGGGTGGCTCACTGGGCCCCAGCACATGGGTCATCCATCCCAGCCAGGGGGCTGGAGAATCATCGGTGGGGAGAGCGCTGGATCCTCCTCCTCCAAGAGACAGAAGCTCCAAGAGTTGGATTCTCTGACAGCTGGGTCCTCCAAGATTTGTATCCTCTGGAAGATGAATCCTCTCAGTGYCCGATCCTCCTCTGAGAGCTGGTTCCTCCTCCAAGAGTTGGATCCTTCAAGAACTGGATCCTCTGAGCACCAGATCCTTCTCTGAGTGCTTGATCCTCCTCCAGGTTGGATCCTCTGAAAGCCAGACCCTCCCAAGAGTTGGATCCTCWTGAGAGACGGATCCACCGGATGCTGGACCCTCCTCTTCAAGCTGGATTCTTTTTCAAACACCAGATCCTCCTCGGAGAGTTGGATCCTCTGAGAACTGGATCCTATGAATGTTGGATCCTTCTCCCGAGCGCCGGATCCTCCTCAGAGCAGCAGATCCCCCAGGAGCGCCACCTCCCTCCCCGAGCGCTCGCCACCATGTCCCTTTGCCGAAAAGAGAAAAAAAAAAGAAAGTTTTATTCCTGTTATTTTTTTAATGAAAGAAAAACAAAAACTAAAGCAAACCTGCACTTTAGGCGGCCGGGGGGGCCGGGGCCCCCGTGTCCCTTCCCTGCGGCCGGCGGGGCGGCTCCAGGGGCCGGAGGCAGGTCCTGGGTGTTACCACTAGCGCAGACGAGGCCGACGTGACGAACTCCTCCTGCTCCGAGCACTCCTGACGTAGCAGATTTTTGCAAATGGAGTTTTACAGTCTATATTTAAAGAATTGTATGTTTGTAACAAATAAAGTATGCGGAAAAGTGAATGAAAACCAGCCCGGGCCCAACTTGCTCCTTGTGGGTGCCATGGGGGGCCCTGAGGGTGGAGCTGATGCCACCTTTGCAGTGTGGGGTGGGGTGGTCACCTGGGGCATTACGGGGACACACGGGATGTGAAGGTGTCAGGAGCACAAAAGGGGCACATGGGGTCCCCCACCTTGTCCTGATGGGTTTCCCTGACTCTGGGGAATTGGGGGTGTGAGGTACCAGCATGATGGGTTAGGATGAAGTGGTGGTGTGGCTCAGGTGTGTTGTGTGTCACAGCTTGGGCTGGTGTGCGCACGGGTATAAGGTGTGTGTGTGTGTAAAGTGTGTAGGGGGTGCATGTGGGTGTGTGTAAGGTATTTGTAAAGTGAGTATAAGGCATGTGTGCCACCACATGGCTGCCTGGTATGGGTTGTGTGTGTGTGTAAAATTTGTGTAAGGAGTGTGTGCCATCACACGGCTGCCTGTGTGCAAGGGTAAGTCTGGGAGGGTTTGGTGTGGCACGCGTGTGGTGTGTGTGCCATGGCTCAGGCAGGTGCGTGCACAGATGTGAAAGGCTTGTGTGCCGTGCACGGTGTGTGTGTGTCAAGTGTGCGTGCTATCACACGGCCGTGTGGCGTGTGCCCAAGCACGGTGCCATGCCCGCAGCTGTGTGCCTGTGTGCCGTGTCCCCTCCGTGCCCGTGCCGTGTCCCCGCGGGCGGTGCTGCAGCCCCCTCCCCCCGCGCTGCGGCTCCCTGCGGGCTCGGGCTCATCTGAGGACACGCAGGGACCCGCCTGCGCATGAGCCGCCGCCGCCGTCACCGCCATCACTGTCACCGACACCGGGGCCTGGCGCGACCCCCGATCCCCGCCCCATTCCGAGCCCCCAGCGCGCACGTCCTCGAGGTCCACAGGAGCGGCTGCTTCGGCCCCATCCCCGGCCCCATCCCCGGCCCCATCCCATCCCATCCCGCAGCTGCTCCGGCCCCCCCGGTTGGAAGAGGTGGGGACAGCCGGGGGGCCTCTGGATTGTGCCCGGGGTGGGGGCCCAGCCCCCCGCAGTTGCTGCCCGGGCAGGTGCGGGCGGTGTTGCGTGCCCTGGGGTGCGGGGAGCAGCTGCGGGATGAGGGGCTGGGGGCACCCTGAGCCTCGCCGGCAGCTGCAGCGAGGGGCGGGGGGATACACCACCCCCCAGCCCGGTGCTGCAGCGAAACTGAGGGGCAGGGTAGGAACCTCGGGGGGGACAGTGACAGTGACAGATGAAAACGTCATCCTCCTCCTCATCGCCCTCCTGCTCCTCCCAGCCCGTGCAGCCGGGGCAGAGCGGCTGTGGGACGGGGAATTGGGGGCCGCCTTGAGTCTCCCGACAGCTGCAGCGAGGGACGGGGTGCGCCTCGCCCCCGCCCAATGCAGGGCACTTGTGGCACCGGGGCCGGGACAGCCGGGGGAGACAGTAACAGGTGCCTCCCTCCCTCCCTCCCCCCAGCCATGGTCAGCGTGGAGCAGGGAGGGTGTGGGGCTGGGGACCCCCTGAGTGCCCCCGGCAGTGCAGCGAGGAGCGGCGGCTGTGCCGTAACCCCCA